AACTAGAGGCGTCAGTACATAACCTTGCAAAACCATTGACTTTAAAAAGAAAAGAAAAAACCCACTGGATTTCCAGGCAAAAGACCAAGTCACTTACAAAGGAAAGAAATCAGGTTGGCTTCAGACTTCCACAAAACAAGATGATGGAACAACATTTTCAAGAAACCCCAGGTAAGAAAATGTGAGCATGGTTACATGAGAACGACTTTTGTCTGTAGAAAACACATACTTAAAGCAAGCATTTCAGGGACATGAGCACCATGTCAGCATCTTCCCCTCAAAGGGGGTCAGGAGAAAATATCCTTTCTACCATACTTGCAACTTTTCTGTATGGTTGAGATTGTTTTAAAATTAAAAAAAAAAAAGAGCAAAGGAAACCCTGAGAAGGAGGAGTAATGAGGCAGAGCTTGCTCTACCATGTAGCCTTGATAAATGTATACAGCTTATGGGTTGGGTACAGAAGCAGACAGACACACTGATGCTACAGAAGAGAATCCAGAATTACGAAAATCAGTGATTCGACATCTCAAATCACTGACAAGAAGATGAACTGATTAACAAATGATTCAAACAACCAGACAACCATTTGGGAAAAAGATAAATTTGGACCCATACCTCTTTCTATATACTAGAACAAATTCCAAATGTATCAAACAGTCAAGTATAATTTGAGTAAAAAGAACACCTATTGTAATTGATTAGGAAAAACCCACATCCCTACAGAGAGAGAAAACCAGTTTTTGGAGGTGACTATTACAACTCACTACTCTCAGAATTAGTGATGAAAGGGGAAGAATGAAACATTTATCATGCCTCTTTTCGGGGGAATTTTCCCAACTGATGAGTGAAAGGACTTCTTTAAAAAAAAATGCCAGCAAATGTAAGAAAGGAAGACAAAATTAGAACATCAGCATTTTGCAACACCCAATGAATTAACTGATTAAGGCAAGTATCATTCATTATAGGTTGTTAGGGAATGGGATATTCAGTTTGATGCCAAAATATCACCCCATAGAGCATTTGCTAAGTGCAAAGGGAAAAAATGTACCTTTATAATGGGAAGATAACAAAGTGATTGAATTAAGCATCACTAACAGTGGGAAGATAACACAGTGATTGAATTAAGCATCACTAACAGAGGGACAACCTGAATGATACATTCCTGAAGCAATTCGCTATGAAAGTACACAGCGTCTTTCTTAAAATGCTTAATCTGAATCTCTTCTAGTGCCTACTTCACATCAGGTACAACAGAGGAACAAGTTAAACTGCACAACAAGGAAACAATCATAAATGCAGAAAGTGGGCTAACTCTACAACTGCTCTAGTTCAAACAGTCAATATACAGGGGAAGAGGTGAGGGGACTGACTGTTCAACAAAGACTGAGGCGCTATAACCAAGTGCAATGCATGGACCTCCGAGGGATATTAGTGCAAAATGGCAGGTTAAAGGCCTTTTGGGGACAATGGAAGGACTGAACTTTTGTGCAAATGACTTCCTCACTCACGATGGGCTGGGTTATGCCACAGTAACAAAGAGCCTAAAATCTCAGTGGCTTAAAACAAAGGTTTATTTCTCACTCCCACTAGTACAGCAATGTTTCAGAAGTGTGATGCTCCCTACCCGTTGGTCTTTGTACATAAGTAATTCTGCATCCCTTTAGAACAGGAGAGATGTTTATTGATCATGGTGGATGGTTCAGGGCAGTGTTTATCAAAGTGTGAATCCCTGACCATTTGCATCACAATCTCCAAAATATTGCTAAAAGCAAATGCTTTTAACTCCAGGGTCCCAGCCCATGCCTGCTGAATCTGAAACTTAAGACTAGGTTTTCAGAATCTACTACTAGCTTCTAAAAGTTGATTTCAATTAAGCATTCACTATTTTATAAAAGTTGCTGTGCAAAAGGATGTTTTACTTTCCTAAAAACAACTGCAGTAGCAATAATACTGTTTATTAAAATGGCAGGGATTCGTGTTTTGTATTTTCTTATAAGGTATCAAGTACTGGTTTTAAAAAAAGGAAAAAGGGGGTGGGGTTAAAAAAAAAGATATCAAGTACAATGGTACCTTATACTCTTTTTTTGAGATAATTATTCTAGATTTCAAGCTAGCTTTCTTTTAGGTGTAAGTTCCTAAAGCTTACAGTTACATATATATTTAAATAAGCTCATTTTATTTAATCAAGGTATGCTAATATCCCTTGGACTTCTACATAGAAAAGTCAACAAAATAACTAAAACTCAGCTAATGAAGATCTATTAAGTGCACAACTATTCTGAATAGTTTTGTAGATGATGAGCATTTAATCCAACTTAGAATGCCAACTAGAAATTTTTCAGTACTCCAAAGCTGACCTTCTACAAAAAAATTTTCATAAAAGCCTAGACTGACACCCCCTCCCACCTCCAGCTCTGCTACTCCATCAAATAAATGGAATTTTAAAAAAAGTGTTCCCTTCATCTGTATTTACTCAGGATTCCCTGAGCTACTTCTAGCCTAGCTGACCTGTTCAATACACTCCCAACAAAATTATCCTCTTTGCAGCCAGTCATTTTCCTCCTCGTGTTTATTTACATTCAGATCTGCCTTTGGAGAGACATTTCACCTTGAACGGATGTACTCACTGGACCCTGACTACCACTGACAAGTTGGCAAGCTGTGAACTAAAACAAAATCTTAAGGCTCCCCCCGACGGGAGGACTGAATGGACCCCCTCTTGGTCAACAGGATATCCTAAAACTAAATTGTCTGCCACGAGGCGGGAGGACAGACATGCCTCATCATGCCCTCCCCGTTCTTGGAGATATCCTTTGTAACCAATTAGCAGGCCTAAGGGTGTGCAAGACAAACCTGTAGGTCCTCAATTTACACAACAAATAAATGTCAGGTGGCTTGTCACTGATTAACAGATCTCCTTATCTTAAAACATTTCAAGCCTTTAGACAAAGCTTCATGTCTTTAACCAACTATAAGTCAAAGAATCTTTAAACCCACCTATAACGTGCAAGCCCCCCCTCCTAGATGGCCCACCTTTTCAGGCCAAACCAATGTATACTTTCCACATATTGATTCACGACTTTACCCGTGACCCCTGTCTCCCTGAAATGTATAAAACCAAACTGTAACCCAACCACAGGGAGTCCACTTGCTCAAGGCTTCTTGGGTGTGGCTCTGGGTCATGGTCCTCAAATTGTAACATCAGCAAGTGACAGGAGCAAAAGGAAAATTTAATGACATTATTAACTATATGTGCTGAGTCTTTTAGCCCACTAGGCCTATTTTAAATATCTTAGAAATTATGTTGTAACAGGTATTATTTATCAAAAATCTTTTGGAAAATAAACAGTTCAACTCTTCTACTGCTATGTTAGTGTAATATGCAGGTCCACTTG